TCTTGTATTCGTCGACGGGTGTATAAGCACGCGTCAATAATATTACCCATAGCTCTCAGCTTTTCTTACCAAATGTCGGTAGCAGCAACGATCGACGCATCTGCGAGTCACGCTAATCGCAAGCTCATCGAGCTACCTGCCTGCCATGTATTATAATAAATTGACCAAGGAGTTGGACGAGAGATTCGGTAGCGCAATTATTTGTACGCAAACAAAACGATCCTCACCGCACTAGCCCCGATCATCATCATTTACACTCAACAACGCGCGGCAGGGCGGGAGAGTAGTTTTTCTGAATGTATAATGTGTAGTGGTAGTAAGCAGTACACACGAAATCTGTGCGCAGGTATCGAGGTATTACACCGCAGGATTACACCCGATATATATAGCGAGGCGCAGTGGATGATCGTGTGGCACGTACCAGCTTTGAGCTTGATTCCGTGTGTGTGTGTTACATGCGTGGCCGCAATTGTGTTGCTGCTGCTGCCAATCCACAATGTACCGGACAAACCACTAACTGCCTGTATCCTCGCGGCGCAGACGCCGCCGCCAAGGATCAAGACTACAATAGTTGCGCGCCGAAGACAGGAACTTACCGTATATAAAAACGTACGAGCTCCCGCGTATTAATATCGGATCGGATCCGAAAAATGAAAAAAAAAGACATATCGAACGATGTAGATCGTTAATTGTCGTATGTACGTGTGCACTTTGTGTACAGGTGGATCGAAATTACACGCTCTCGTATACGTGTGTAAAGCTCACCGCGTACGGTCGAAAAATTGCTTAATGAGCGCCGCCACGCGGATCCTGTGTGTACCGATGCTGCTACTACTACTGTTGTTTTTGTTGTTGTTGTTCTGGGTGGAGCGATTTATCGCGCGAAATTTCAAGAAAAAGATCGGTATAATTCGGTACCGCTCGCAGGAGGCGCACAACTATATACTTGGCATATTGTATTGACTGCAAAAATAATAAACGTCGTCACGCGTTTTACGTCCCAAAAGTGTGTGCATACACACGGCTGCCTGTCCCCCGGGAAAGAGAGAGAGAGAGAAGTGGCGATCACGGACACGAACGATCGTGAATGGGAATCGCGACGATTTGCCATTTCCGGGGCGCATCTCTCTCGAGTCTTTCCTCGCTTGTCGTCGAGCTCCGCTCTCCCAAGATATAAACAAATTCACACATTCAAATTTACGCGTGCGTGCGAGCAGCCTATACGGAGTGTGTTTACGGAGCAGACTCGATGGTATATACGGGCTCGAAGGCACGATACAAGTGCAGCGCAGACACATCTCGCGCGACCGCAATGGCCATTGACGAGAACGATTCACTTCTCTCTCTCACTCGCTCTCTGGAGAGTCCTCGTGAGAAAAGCCAAAATTTAATGCGCTATATACTTTACACACGCGCGCGTGTGTGTACGGGGACTTTCGTTTTCGGATGAATGGACCTCGTATTTTCGAAGCTCGGCTATTGAATCCTCTTCGATGCGTCAACGCAACACACTATATATGCGCCTCGATACATGTTGTAGTATAAAAATAACACGTTTGCGGCGTGATTCGTGCGCAACGTAGTTTTGTATGCACTTTATAACTGGAGCTCTAGCCCGTATTGCACGATGACCGTGCGGCGCCCATCGCACGCGTACACATATTCATATATTATAATACAGTACCGTATGGGCAGCTCGTTACGTCCAAAAAGAGCTGCAGCGCCAAAGATCGGCAACGGTACATATTATACTCATTTTGCGCTCCGGCACTCCAGTCATATATATACACACCGTGCAGTCGGCGAGTTTTAATTTTTGCAGCTTTTATGTAACCACAATGATCATCGCGCGCTCGAGCTATATAGACTCGAGAGATTATAGCTCGAGTGCAGCGTTGCTGCCTCTCTAGACGAGCTCAACTGCTCTCTGCCGCTGAGTCGTGCTAAAAATTTTTACGCGCTGCTCTAGGCTGCAGCACGCAGTCTATATATATGTGTACGCAGTCACGTAGCGATTGATGCGTTTCGCGCGCGCAATGCCATTACGTTGGCTCGCTAATATTATATGCGCGCACCGAGTAAATTAGGATGAGCAAGAAGAATCTTAAAGAGCCATATTACGTAAGCGTAACTCTAAGAGAGCACTCGATGATTGTCTAAAAAAAAAAAAAAACAACAGCCCTCGTAATTTGTCGAATAAAGTAAGAAAAGGAGCTTCTCTTTCTTCTCTTTCATCCTTGCAGCCCATCGCACGTACACACGCATCTTTGACTCCTGTCGATCGGTACTATATACTCGCTTCATTCACATCGAGTTCGAGTATAAGTAAGTATACAACTACACGCAGCAGCAGCAATACACGACCGGGCCCGGGCCTGTCTTGTGCTGCAGCACCTTTCTCACGTGCAAGGACTTTCCGGTCCCTCAGAAATTGCTTCCTCTCCTTATAAAACTTCGGACGCGAGAAGCAGCAGCAGAATATAAACACCCGACAGAGAGAGAGAGAGAAAGAGAGAAAGAGAGTGTTGTTTTGAGAATTGCAGACACTCTTTCTCTACTCTACTCTCTCGTGCGATCATCATCGAAATCCGCCGCGCGCGCAAAGCCCATCTTCCGGGAATTTTAATACTCCGCACCGACGATGGAATATCGCCCTTTTTACGAAAGAGAGGACCTACTTTTGTCGCGCTCGCTATCCTCTCTCGTTCTCTCTCTGTCTCTTTCTCATACAGAGAGTGAGACACTCGCAGCCTATATATGATTGGCCTATTTCGATCCTTTACTTTGTTTTTTCCTCGTCGTTTTAAATCAGTTCCACCTAAAGCCGAGGCACTGTCTCTTGTGTACTGTTGCGCTGCCGATGCTGCTGGCGAGCACGTGATCTCTTGCACTTAAACCATTAGACGGATCATTTTCCATGAAACGGACCGAAAATAAAAAAAAAAAAATAGAGTCTCTCTGGACACGGACTCACGGCGAGATATCGCGCGTTCCGAATTGTCTCGATGCACGAGATAGTAGACCCGTAGACGATATATAATTATAAAACGTTACACGCGCGGGACCTACGCGATTGCCGTCGTCTATGCGTGGACACGTCTTGCACACGCGCAGCAGCAGCGTCGATGCACGAGCGGACTTTTCTTATTACGCGCGTGCTCGACGCTCGACTGCTGCGTTAATCACTCCTTGCGCTTTTACTCCTTTGCATATATATACAGCCGAGCGAGCGAGCGAGCAATTGGAAATATTTTTGCTTCGGGACATAATTGCTTGGCTGCGCTTGCGTAACGATCTTTGAAAACATCGCAAGCGCGGAAGAGAGCAAAAGCTGACGACAATATTTAACTGTGCGAGAGAGTGTGAGAGATAATTTGCGAGCGTTATCAAAAGTGCAGGCGCCACTGAGAGTACGATAAGGATTGTAACGCGAGTATAGCTACACGCTGACGGCTCTTATCGCGTGTACAATGTATGAAAAGAAAGGAAAAAAAACTGACAGACGCTATCTTCCTTTCCCATGAATATTGTTGCGTTATAATGTGTACTGCATACAATGTTGACATTTTTGTGCACGGAAGCGTTTTCCAAATTTTCCGAAGGCGAGAGTCGACCATCTACTTGGTTGCATCCAAGGATTCTCGATTATATCATGTATAGGTGCAGCGATGGTCGACTATATGATACAAAGATCTGTAATATAGACGCTCTAAATAAGCATCGTCCCGGAGAGCTTGAATAATCGCCAGATCGGTGCTTTCGCGCGCGATTTTCCCGTTCATTGATCTTTCTTTATGTATATAAAACGACTCGTCTCTCGGTCTCGGAGACGCGCACTATGACGACGACGATGACTTTGCGCAAAACAATCCGATCGCGAACGAAGGAAAAAAAAGGAGAATACATATAGTTGCGTCAAGTCGAATTACGATAGTAATCTTCGTGAGGTGATGACGACGACGACGACGCTTCAGTATACATTATACATTTTCTCTCTCTCTTTCTCTCTCTCTCTACTTTAATTCCGCAAGATGAAGAAAATTTTGTTTGTTTTTAGGACGATAAGCGCGGAAATTTTCCAGCGAATTAGCCTCTCTCTCTCTCTCGGGAGAGTTTAAGTTAATGCATCTCTTCGGAGCCTAGCGAGCGAATAACGCAGGCAGCTACTGCGTATAGCTGCGCGTAAGCACATACACACACATACACATAGAGAGAGAGAGAGAGAGACAGGCAGGCAACAAAGCCTCTCGTCGTCGTCGACGTTGCTGCTGCTGCTGCTGCACGGTCTACGAGTCGCGCAGCAGAGAAACCGCAGAGATGCATTATATTCTCTTTTGCGTGTCGCGCACTACTCGCTCGCTCGCTCTCGCACGATGGAATTTCAAAACGCGTCGCATAGCAGCAGCAGCAGCAGAGTACTCGACTGTGCGTATAATATAATATAAATATGAGAGAGAGAGACGCATCTATATATAGAGAGAGAAGAAAAAGCAGCAGCAGCAGTGTGCGATTCTCACAATTTATAATGATAATACGAATCCTTTTGCAACAACGCGACGACGACGAGAGAAAACGAAACGAAAAATGCCAATTTCTCATGATGTGTCTCCCCCCGAGCAGCAGTCTATATAGGCGCTCGCTCGAAAATAGGCAATTGGCGAGCTGTGCAGTTTGAGTTTATACTTGCACGTGAGTGTCTTTCTCATTGCTCGTCTACGTGCAATAGTAGTTTCTTGGTGAATGCTATACAATTTATATTATTAGTTTACGATAAATCTGTCGATTTACGTACAATCATATATCATGAAATGAATCAACATCATAATCTTATACTTGAAACTATGTCATGCAAAAATTGTATTCAAAGTTTATTATTGATAGTATAAAAAATCGATCATCTCTCATCAACGCTTTATTTTATCATTAACTTTTGCAGACATAACCGGACAGCAGCAGCAACAGCATCACCAGCAACAGCAACAACATCAGCAGCAGCAAAGCGAATGGGCGTATCCGTCGGCGACGGCGCCCGCGACGGCCGTGGCCGTGCCGTCTTATCCAGGCAGCAGCGCTGCTGCAGCCGCCGCCGCCGCCGCCGTCGGTGGCCCCTACTCGCCCGTGCCAGGTGGTGCGTTCTCTTATCCCGGCGAGGCTCTCGCCCATCACCCAATCACCGAGCCCGTGCCCCTACCACCCGGTACGTGTTCTCATATAGTAGCTGCTCTTCTTCTTCGTCTGACTATATACACACATACACACACCGAGGAGTGTTCCCTCTTTCGCTCTGTATATGCGCACGCGGCACTCCTTACGTATATCTGTATATGCAGCTAGGCCATGGCTTTTCTCTCCTATCCGCTGCTCTTGTCTGTCGCAGGCGGCACACGCGTACGACGCCTCCGTGGGCGATGATAAACCAACTGCACGCGCACGAGATCGCGGCCATTCGCAGTAGGCGCCAGCGCGCGCTACTTATCGTCTCTATAGTTGCGCTTCTATTTTCCGTTGGCTAATTTAGCTCTTTCGACTATATCGATGTAGTATTATCCTTGACCCTCGGCCTCTGCGCGCTCCGAATTTGTTCGGCCTATCGGCCTGATAAAACTACGAAATTGGGTTAAACGTTGTTGTCGCGTGGGTGTTTAATGTAGCTCTCTGCGTCGAGCTACACTAGGCACTCCATGATACGAGTAGTTTTCATTATTTGCATGTAGCAGCGAGCAGTTCATTTGCACAGAAACCCGATCGATAATCCCGATGACGATTACAAACGTATCGTATAAAAGGGCCTATGATTACTTTCGCCGATAGCAAAAAAAAAGAACGCATCATTAATTGCAACTCGTATGGCGTGCATAATTGAAGAGCGAGAACAAAAAAAAAAACTTTCTCCGTTGCGAGAAGATACGGTTAATTATTCACGCGCAAAATATTTAATAACGATTATCGTTCTATCGCGTTGATAAAGTAGACGATGATATATATAATATACCTACACGACGACGACGACGACGCGTCACTCGCACGCACACAGAAAAGCGAGTAGTAGCAGTAGTAGCAAGGGTGAAATGTGCACGCGCCGCCGGAGAAAGTACATTTAATGACACGTTCTCGATCGAGAGAGCTGCAGCGGCGATATTAAAAGTAGCATACGAAATTAGCACTTGCGCGATATAATCCCCATACACACACACGTGTGTGTGTGCAGTGTAGTACTATCGTATGCACTTTTATATATGTTTGAATCGGAGCGCGCACGTCGTAATTTTCCGACGATGCAACATAGTTTCTAACAAAAAAAAAAAAACTTTAAATTTTCTCTCTCTCTTTTCTGCACTTTATACGCGCGGCGGCATAATCATCGAGCTCGCGAGCATCAAAATGTGTCATTTCGCGTAATATTACAATGTAATACGCAGTTCATAGATGCGACTCTGTATACACCCCCGCGCGCGCTTCGTAGCTTTTATAATATACGCATTTGCTCGCGGCTCTATCTCTCTCTACTCGGTCTTCTTCGGCGATTGTTTAACTCGTTGCACGCACAGCGCGCGACTTTTTCTTTCCACCCAGACCACAAATAAACACCTTAGTCTTTCTCTCTCTCTCTCGCACTCTGCACTATACCACCACGATATAATATATAAGCTAGCTAGTCTCTCGAGGGCAGAGAGAGAGAAAAAACGTGTATATTTGCCCTTGCAGTTATATTTACACGCGCATACGAATATATAGATTTCCTCGGCCACTACGGCGGGTCTGTATGGCGCTCGCCTTTTCTCTCAACAGTGACACGTACTATACACTATATAGCATGCGTATGCGTGTATATGTGCAACTTCTCTTTTCTGTTCATATGTGTTATACTGCACTGCAAGCCTTTTGCAAGTTTAAAAGCGCGCGCGCGCGAATATTGAAAATTGATTGCTCGCGGTCGCGATGCTTTTCTTTTTTTTCTTCTCTCTCTCTCCCTCTCTTTCCTCTTCTACCTTCTTCTTTCTTTCTGCTTCATGCGTGTGCGCTGCACATGTAGCTGTATAGTTCATATACCTGCATGGTCTCTTCTTGGTCTTCTTGGGATCTGCAACGCTTTGCGCTTTGTGACCCGTGACCAGTTCGTGTATGTGCGTGTGTGTGTGCACTGCGGTACGATACTCGCCTTTTATCTTCTGTTTACCGAGCGCAAGTGCAGCACCACCGCCTCACCGCAAAATCCAACTGCACTCGCGATTTTTTGCTTTTTTTTCATCTACACGTATATACACTATCTTGCTCTCTTTTTGCCTGGATCGCTGCTGATATTTTTTGTCAACCATAATGTGTTTTTACTCTCTGCGCGCAGAGCTACCCTCAGAGGGCCAGCACCACGACGCCTACACGCCCAACTGCGTGTCCATGTACTCGACGCCGACGACGACGACGAACCACCACCACCACCTGTCCGTGCACCATCCGCATCATCAGGCTGGCGGTGGTGCCTCGACGCTGCCCCTCGGTGTCTCGGTGGGCGCGGGTGGCGGCATCATCCCGACCAAGCCCCAGGGCGCCAGCAACAGCAACAACGACGACCTCTACACGACGGCCAGCTCGGCCGGCAGTCCGGGTAGCGCCGTAGGAGCCGGAAATTATCATGCTGGTTACGCGGCTGCTGCTGCTGCTACCGGCACCGGCTGGGCAGCGCCACCCCCGCCAACCAATCATCACTACAACAATTATCAGGGCTACTACGCGCATCATCAGAACCACCCGACGACGGCCACGGCGGTGGCGGTCGCGGCGGCGGCCGCTGCCTCCCAGAATCCCTACATGAGCCCGGCGCCACCGCCGCCGACGATGGTGCTCTATCATCCGCCGGCCGTGTTCACCAGCACCATCAATCAGAACCAGATACATCTGCACCTGAGCGAGGACAGCCTGGCCCAGAGCCAACTCGGCGGTGGCCTGGGAGTCAATCATCCGTACAAGCTCGAGATCGGCGTGATGGGCAGCGAGGACCAGAACGATCAGCAGCGCAACAACAGCGCCGACGTCGTCTGGAGGCCCTATTGAGCGGCTCGCAGTCGCACTTTCCTATATATATATAGGAGCTGTATAGAACGAACTACATATTTTTATGTGTGAATAGCGGCCAATTAAAAAAAAAAAAAGGCAAACCTCTCGGAGGTTGCTTCTTCCGTTTATATATTGTATAAAAAATAATTACGCACACGCGACGAGGGCAAACAATGAGAAAAAAATAACTGAAATATAATTCTCGTACGGAGTTACGCTCGTGTATGTACTCCACCGAGAAACAAATATACGTGGCCCTTCGACCTAAATAAAAAAAAAACAATGAATTATAAGTTGCTCTCGCAGCAGCTGACGAGTATCAAGTATATATGATAAAACAAAAACACGTACACACACGTATTACTATTAAATAATTATACATATTGATATTAAAATAAACAAAAAAGATACAAATATAAATGTGTATGTATATCGTGTAAATATATATGTTGTGATTACATATATATGAATATAAAGTTGTAAATACGTCGAAATATTTTCCATGAAATAAAAAGAAAATCATGCTGAATTACGTTCCTAACTTGCAAAAACAAAAACTTTGCCAACCTCTTTTTATTTTTGTGTGTGCGCGACAGACGCAACAACAACAACGATCCAAGAACCTAGAAACCTTATTATTTTTCTTCCGAGGTATAGAGACGATTCAATATTTCATAGAGCGCAAAACAAAAGTTTTCATCGCGATTGTAAAGTCGAAGGTTTGTATATATACGAGACGACGATATTATTATATATATGAGAAAATTTGTCGAATCACCTGGGACTATTCCACCGAGTGCAACGCGTGTAACTTCGTATTCGCGCGTCACAACGAATCGCGTGATATTAATTCATGCAGAAAATATAATATTATAACGTCGATCTATTAATAGTGTCTCTGGATTTATAATAATTTGCATAAATTCGCACCGTCCGCCAAAAAAGATTACATAGGAAGTCGCAGGCCCGATCGCAAGATGAATAATGGCACACGGACGAGCGGAGGAGGAGAAGGAGGGGAAAATGGCCGTTTAGCCTCCGACAGGGGGGCTTTATCATCTAATTCAAAACCACAAGTGCGCATGAGAGAGAGAGAGAGAGAGAGAGATTCATAACTCAGCCGATGAGTAAGCAAAATTTAATTATCGTGCATCGTCGTCGTATAGAGGATTTAAAGGCCGGAACCAGCCGCGCGCATCCAAACCACATTTAACGAGATATAACTTGATTTTTCGTGCGCGCGAGACTTTTGCTTGTATACGCTATATAAAAATTGTATGCTTAAAAATTCAAGTAAAATGCCGAAAGCATCTTTCAAAGCTGAACGTTAGTAAGATTTACGCTGGATCTTGAATTTTACTACTTGTCGACAAAAGTTCGTGAAAAGTGCATTGAAATTACAACATTCATCTTGGGTAGAGGACTTTGAAATAAATATACTTTATCAGAATTTCAATTTATAAAGACTGATAATTGAAATACATTCGTTTGCGAGTATAAATTTGAGCCCAATGCCGTAATATTCACGTTTAAACGTAAGTATATTAATTGCTAATGCGCGTGTGACGATGATTATACCGTGACCAGCTTACGGGCTCGTAATTTTTTCTAATTTTCGATAATTTTTCTCGCACAAATACTCGCGCAAACAAATTCGTGTCGCAACTGGCATACGTTACTTTTCTCTCACTCGCGAGAATCTCACGTCACACAAACCATCATATTTTACCAGTGAACATCGCAGGAATTGAATTCATAATTGATTTGGTTGGTTAACTTAATGCCAAAACATTGCCTTTTCTCTTTTGATTTCTGAAAATTTGGCCATACACCATCTGGCGGCAGCTTATAAACTATACTGCTAGACCAAAAAAAAAGTTAAAAATTCATATATTGGTCATATGATTATGCAAATTATTTAATTTTATTTTAATATAGTACTACCATCTCATCATTTTTATATGGAACTTGATTATTAACACAAAAATCATTGGTTTTTTAGAGTAGCTTCAAAGTACTTGAAATTTACCATTAATTTTTCCAAGTCTGAGTCCAGTGCACAAATGACAAATCCTGCGCAGCTTAATTTACATTTAATATTCCCTACATCGTATTATGCAATTCTAATGACTTCGCAGCAGCGAGAACAATGCAAGCTCTAACTCTTCGAGTCCAGAATTCGTCGGCAGATAGGGTGGCAAACGCAGCTATCGTCATATACGTGCACAACATATAGCGTCGTGTCATCGTCGTCGTCGTCGTCGTCGTCGACCGCAACTATCAGTCGCACGAACGTTCGCCGGTCCTTTAAATATTAAATGGGTCCTCTCGCGTACCCTCCCATCGAGTGTGTGTCGTCGTACGGCCATAGCGCACATTCGCCATTGGGCTCTCTCTCTCGCGCACTCGTAAATACAAAAGAAAGAAAGGATATACAGAGAGAGAAAGGAAAAAGCTAAAAAGAAGCAAGAGTGTATCATGCAGGCAAATGTATACTACGGTGCAGAATTGCACTTGGTCGATTTATCGATTCTTTCTCTCTCTGTCTGTCTCGTTTCGTCGCTGTTGCTTTGTCTCGTTGCTCTTCTCTCTCTCTTTTCGTCGCGGCGGTTTGTTTGGAAGTGCGTTATGTGCTTCTGCCGTCGTTCTTTTATCGGATTATCGGGTTCGAGAGCTTAATCCTGTAATATTGCTTTTCTTATTTTGTATATACCGTTCGCGAGGTTGCAGCTTCCAATAAAAAATGATCGCCCGGATGATGCGCGGCGACGACGACTGCGTGTCGCGCAATCAATTATTCATCGTCGTCGCGGGTCGAGTTCGATGAGCAGCTCCCACGCGTTGGGCTTTTTTACTATTATATTCGAACATAGCCGGTGCGACGCGACGAATATCGCTATATTTTATTTTGCATTTCGTCCGAATAAATGTGAAAAGCAAAAGGATCCTATTGGAATAAACGTTTTTTTTTGCTCTCAGTGATGCGAGTAAACGATCGGTCAAACGCGTATATTGTAATTCTTTCAAATAAATGAAAAAAACCGACAAAAAACTCTTAAACTTGCGAATGATTTATAAGTTGAACATTTTTATGGCTATTTTTGAACCAACAGAAAAGTTTCTTGGACACGAAAAGGCCATTAGAACTGCGAACATATACGTACTGAAATATATTTTTTCAATGTTTTATGACCGCGTAATGTTTTACGGTTTTCTAACAACACATGCGATTTCTGTAAATAAATTAATCTTCTCAAGCGTACCGGACTTATACAATCATTTTGACTTTGCCACTTGCAGATTTACCGAAATGTAGTTACTCGCCATCTAGCGTTGAAAGCTAGAAGTAACTTTATAAGTAAGTCATTTAATATTTGAAACATACCAGTAAAATCGTCAAAAATAACCAATTGATGGTTATGTATTTAAAAACATTTTAAGTGGACATTTTTTAGTCTAGAACATTACAAATATCGACCATTTCTACCATGGATTTTATTCAAGTACATAATCGTGCTCCGATCCACATAACGAAACAGCATAACAAACAATGTCGCAAAGATCAATTTCACTTGTGAATGTGTGTTTGTATCGATGCAGCCTTGACAAGTCTCGGGACTCGTGCGTTACGCATAAAAACCACAACACATTCTATACTCAGAGTCTAAACTTTCTTTATACACCTACCCCCCTCGTGTTGCATATTCATAATCATCATGTGCATTAGATCTATAAAAAGTAAAGTAAGATGGTCGAAAGTAAATAAAAAAGTCGCTCTCGAGTTCCATCGATATAGTTTCGGATTACGTATTCGCGCGTGCCTGACGGATCCAAGCGCAAAGGAAGCAGCAGCAGCGGCAGCGGCAATGCGAGAAAAACGAATCGAAAGAGAGAAAGAGGAGATGCAAAAAGAGAGAAGAAGAGACAAATGCACAATGAGAGTCAGCCCAGCGCGTACTACGTTCCGCCTCATCGCTATACCATACATAGGAACTAATATATACCGCTATGTTATCTCGGGCCGTGCATGCGTCTATGCACAGTCAGTCCGCGACTGCAGTGTGTGTATACCTATATGCACGTTTCGCGCGCCAAGAGAAGAAGAAGTGCCGAGAGTCGTTTGAGGTTTTTCGCGTCGTCCCGCGACCAGGCACAAAGCCTTACGTACTACTATATGTACGCGCGAGCGCAGAGAGAGAGACCGTAAGCTCGAATCTTTACGAGTGCGTTGCGCTGCGAGTATGTATATATAGATGCACACGACCGCAACGACTCTACGCGCTGCGTATAGCTTATACATGCGCGAGGCGAAAAAGGAGCAAACGCCTGCTTATATGAGACAACGGGGCACACAGACTCTTCTTCTTCGTTGCGCGTGCGTGTGTGTGTGTGCATCTATGCGCTGAAGCTGAGAGATGATGATGACTCGCCGCTCCGTCCTGAGTGAGCGAGTGCGCCAAAGTGCGTAGAGGGCATGTCTCTCCGATCCCGACGCAAAAGGTACGGCTTGCAATTTTCGCGCGACGAGTATACGCGCGTACGAGTCTTTTGTCTTTGACTTCTCTCCTTGATTCGATCGACCAGCTGAAAATTTCATTAGGTGAGAAGGTAAGTTCATCTATTCAAATCATACATTTCAAATATATATACTTTGATGATTTTTCTTTATTTTTTTTATCATATATAATTTGATCGATCACAAAAATATTGGAATACTGCATGTAGCCGTGCCTTATCGATACCTTAAATGCTATATAAATATTCTGCTCTCATATATCCAATAATAATATATAATATATTTATTTTTCATTTTTGTTCACTTTGGCATATAAATTTTTAATGTAAAAATCAAAAACTCATCCATTGATTTTTGTTGTTCTTTTTTTTTGTTTTACTCTGGGGCCATCGAAACTTTTGTGGTACAACTACAATAAGGATCGCCGTATCAGTTTCGAAGACGCTATGATTTTTCTTGTATTTTAAATAAAAAAAAAAGAAACTTTACCTCAGCTTCAAGCTATATAATTCTTATACAATATACGTAGTAGTACATTTTTGTTTTATCAAGTCTTATAGAATTCGGACACCTTCCAGAAGTGCCGGTCGATTCGAAGCACCATTCAATCTTACACGTTTTTTAAAAAAATATCCTCATAAGCACACGTTTCTATTATAGATTTTATTATATTTGTATAAGCCGATCGATTTCATCTCAGCTCGATTATAATTATTGACGTTAATCATGAAGGAAGTTTTTTTCTTTCTTTTAAGTAAAAAATTTAACGAGCTCTGTGTAAGTGTACATATGTGAGCGAGGAAATCGAGATCGATTTCGAGGACTTTCAGTTAGTATCGAAAGAATAGAAATACTTTTAAAAAACAAATCGGATAGAAATAAATCGATACGTAATATAGGCTACGATACATTGTATTATGAAGCTTTCGCTCGTGCGGCGATTCTTCGGGCAAAAATCCTCCGATCAGCCTCGCACGAAGATTAGTAGTAGTGGATCCGATAATTTGACATCGATCCGGATGATTCGATAGGCTCGTCGCTGCTCGTTCGTACATAATTCACGTGGCGGGGGTGGCGTCGACGAGTCCGTAAATGTGGCCGATGCGACGGAAGAAGACGGCGAGGTGTTGCTTCAGCACAGGCTCGTAAGCGTGCCGCGTCAAAATTCTAATGCCGCCCACGAGCACCGGAAGCAGAGGCGCCAACAGCTCGTCCTGGAAATTATCATAATGTTAGCCTTGAACTATTCGTGTGAGTATCGATCTCCTCTTCCAACGGCAACTACTTGACAAAACGAAATTGATTTGACTTTCATTTAAAGTAGAAAACTCACCGGCAAAGCGAGGGCGAACTCGAGCGACGTGCCGATGGTCTCGGCCCAAGCCCGTCTGCGCGTCTCGCTGTCCTTGTTCGCCTCGCGGCAGTAGTCGTCGAGATCGAGGCTGCCCGTCTTTCGGCGCTCGTCCTGGAGAAACGGATTCGTGCTGAAGCCCCGTCGGTTGTGCTCGTACTCCCTGATCAGGGCCGCGATGTCCTCCAGCGCCTCCTCGTTGCTCAATTTTTCCGCCGCGCTTCCCGTCGCCGTTGCGCCGGACTCGTCGTTGTCGTCGTCCTCGTCGTGGTTTACGTTGGCAGCGCCGCCGACTCTTTGCGCCGCGGAACGATGATGATGAAGCTCCAGCATGGACTTGGATCGGAAGTAGAGGCTCTGCTTCTTCGCGTAAGACTCCAGCTCATCCTTTTGAATGAATTTCAAATTGTATCTGCGAAATAATAATGAAAAAGTCAATTTGCGTCAATTCGAATTGTTTGATTGTGACTAAGTCGACGTTACGTGACTCAGGCGCAAAATTGCATTAATTTTTGTTTTATTTTATTTTATTTTTTCAATGAAATCGATGCGTAACTCGGGTGACTAAATATCGACGTTTCTGTTATACGCACTGCATAAATTAACAATAGCGAATTTTGTCGAGGACGCTCACCTTCGCGACAATAAGCAATCGTCGCTGCCCCTCTTCTTCTTGCGCCTCTTCGCTTTTTTCGCCTCGACTCGTTCCGTTCCATTATTTTCGGCTTTTTTCGCTTCTTCCGTCGTCTGATTTTCGTCAACCACGGAAGTCTTGTCCGCGGCTTCTCTGTGTCGATCCAGAAATACAATTTGCGAATCGTTCAAGTCCGAGGGACTTTCGGGTCTCGAATCATCGCTCTCGGGTTCCGACTGGGGTCCCGAGTCCGTCGAGGAATCGGAAGCTAAATCCGACAAGCGAAACGGTCGAGGTGTTGTTTCTTTTGCGACGGCTGGTTTTTCATTTTCCGGGGATGCACTATAAACGATGCGATTGTTCTTTGGCGCCTCTTCTTCTTCTGTAATGCGTATAATGATATTAAAATAATTTAAAATTTAATCATCGTGCTGATATAATTTACCTGGAAGCTCTGTATAGTCATCGGGCTGCGAAACAAGAAGGAAAAACTTCCTCTCTGCTATTGTATCTGCTACTGTGTATCTGCCATCCCTGTCCAGAGCTATATCCACGTAAGTTCCGCAGAGCTCGTCGAAAGTCGTGCGCAACTGAGTCATGTAACCGACCAATCGCTTGAATTTATTCTCGGACTTTGAGTCATTCAGCACGAGTCTCTTCGTCTGCTTCAAGTCGGCGCCGCACTTGCCGATCTCCGCGAGGGACAGATCGAAGAGAGCGACGATCTTGATGGTCCAAGCGGTGCACGCCTGATGATAAAGATTCGCGGGTCGCTGAAGATTCGCCACCTTCTGCAGGAGAAACTTTAAGCCGGGCCTCGAGTCGAATTTCAGCGCGGCTACGTAGGACAGGTCGAGGGCCGACAGGAAAACGTTGACGTGACGAGGCTCCAGCTGCGGTGACGTTCTCGTCGACGAGTGACTCTTCGGCAACGACGTCACCGATTTCATGAGCAATTGAGGAAGTCTGCGTAGTTGTAATGATTTATTAGATGCAATTTTTTATATTACTCCGCGACGATAAAAAAATAATCATTGAAAGCAACCTCGGAACCCAAGCGTCCGCATTTTGCAACAAGACCGTGGCTATGCACTGAAGTAACATCTGATGCACGAGTAATCCAACGATCAAGGCTCTCATCTGAATGCGAAGCGAGTACAGTTCGGGATTTTTATCCACGGCCACCGAAGGCGAGTACAATTGGAAGACGTAGGATTTTTCATCCAAAAGTTGATTTAATTCCTCTCGGCGTTGCTCCTCTAGTAAAAATACCTGAATAAAATGAAAATTCAAGTGAGTTCGTTGATGAATTAATAAAATAAAATGGTGATCGATATATTATTTGTGTAACTATGCTGTACATGTTGCAAAAATTACAAAATGAAGCATTTCTAAAAAAAGTTATCTAAGCTGATCTTTGTAGTTGAACGAATCAAGGTGGATGAATAGCGATGAATTTTATTGTTTTATGATTCTCTACGCATTTGCTCGTTGTCGCTGTAAGTCAAAAATATGGACAAATAATTGAATTCACTACTTCAAATGTGTCACACGAATTACCCAACTCATTCAAATGCTGATGTATAAATTACAAGATCTGCAAATGATTTTTATTTTCAAAAATGCGCTCGAAGCAATTTTAATGTCAGTATCGAATTTATCGTTCAAGCTGCCGTGTAGATAAACTTCGCACTTTGTGAATGAATTTTATCAAGTGTGTATAATGATTAAAATTGAAACGTGAGAAAAATCGCTTGTGAAAGTTGGAATATTAAATTCGAAATAGCGAGAGCTGTGAAAAGTGAGTGTCGCATTTGTTTTTTTTTTTTTTTTTTTGTAAGTCGTTGAGCCAATACTTTAATTTTTTTGTGTGAATATCAGATCGCAATTTATTCAAACTGAAAGCTTTGCCTGAATTTTTGCACGATGATGAACAAGATTCTACTTGACGTATACAATTTTCGTTTGTATTATAGTAAGGGTAGACTTTTACTCTAAAAGGCCCTGTTGATCGAATTATATACATTTAAAATACACTAATTAAAGAATAATTATTAGAAAAATAGAAACAGAAATAGATAGAAGCTATTTTTTGTTAGCCGCGTTCTGTTTTATAAAATTATTTTTACTTTGCTACTTGTAGATTTACATATAAAAGTACTCGCCATCTAGTGGTAGAGGCTGAAAATTTTATTGTCGTATTCAAGTTATCTGATTTTTGATAAAAATAATTTGTTATTTTTAGATGATTTAAGATGTTGTCAATATTTGTAACATAATTGTAACAGAAAAATCGCCGAAAGCAAGTCAATTAACAACATTTTAATCTGTTAATATTTTGTTTATTGGGCCAATATTTATGTTGAGCATTTCTAGCCAGGTCGAAATGCTGTCGGAGATCCCCCCAGAGCCCCGCTAGGCTTTTGCTGCTTTTGATTTTTGATTTTTATCAAACGAAATGGTTGGACTGAGTCGATTAAGCCAATTTTAACAAACTATGCTGTAATGCTGCAATTATTATCTAAATGTTAATTCGAAGCAGATAGTTTTACACAATTACAAATGTTTACACAGATATTATAACGTTTGAATGAATAACTCATTCAAACAACGTATAACAAGTAAATCGTACCTATAACATATCTTATATTGAACTACAACTGCCAAAGCGTAAATTTTCGCATCTCTTCGCGCCGGTTATCCGTTCATCGCATGCAATGGAAACTTTGATGAATTTCAAAAGCCTCATAAGCTGCTTTAATTGTAAAATAAGCCATTTTCGCTTTATGTCCACTCCCAATAAAATTATAACTCGCCATATTACACTACTGATGCACAAAGTTGTATCATTATTATTTTTAAAAAACAAAACGTAAGCATCGATATTGGCAAAAACCTTTGGCTTACTAATTGGAACAAAAGTCCATGACTATGGAGTTACCGTTGTATCTGGTGTTGTTGTTGATGTTGTTGTTGTTGTTGTAGTAATACATGTTGTTGAAGTTTTGGTGATAACTGGCTAAAGCCAATGGGACGCAGTTGTAGCAGTGTTTGTGTAAGTCATAGGTAGCAAAGTCTTCTTGGCTGCGGCCTGCAACTTTTTCGCCTCGGCCACGGGCAAAAACATCACGATATTGTTCGCAAGCATGACGGGCGGCGGCGGTGGAGGCGGCGACGGCGGCACTCGACCGATTTTACTCGGAGGATCGTCGCTGATCATCGTCATCGAGTCCAAACGATCGAAGACGGATCTCGCAGACGCTAAATCCGATGCGTCTCGACTTTTGATCGATTTTAGCAGGTCGCGCAGCTGGCCCACCTGCGCCGATTGATCGATTACAATTTTTTACCACGAGAAAATATTCGTCACTCGCGTGCACACCCTCGTAATATTATCGTGCGAGGCTTCATAGATCTATCGCTTTTACTCGAAATATTCAAAAACAACAGCAGTGATATAGCAGTAATTTTCCAAAATTTCTTCAACATTTCACAAGCCTAAGTTGATACTTTAGCGTAGAGTACTCGGCTATTTGTCCAAGATGTATCAATTCATTATCAAAATCATCTTTATAAATCAATGACAATGAGCAATGAGGGATGAGTCAAAAAAAAAAAAAAATCAACACCGAGCAACAATCGCAGCTGTGATGGCGGGCGGCTCTTACCTGAGCGGCGAGTTGACGAAGTCGCTCGGTCTCCTCGGGGGTGGCATCGCGGCGAGCGGCGACCTTCACCTGGGCCGTGTCGCCGTAAAACGACTCGGAGTACGGCGAGAAGGCCATCGTCAGCTGGTGAAGCTGCTGCAGCGAGCTCGAGCAGGCCCGGTGACAGGTGACTCCGCACACCTCCCACTGGTCGGCCGTGAGGATCGGTCCACTGCTCACCAGTACGTGCCTGTAATTTTGGGCAAAAACAATTGATCAAAATTGAAACTCGAATAAATTCAATGTCTTTCGCGAGAGTCTAGCGATAATTTTAGAGTTGAATATCCCACAGAGAAAACATCAAGAGAAAGATTTTTTCGACATTTTAATATTTTAATACATTATTGTCATAGAATGAAACTCGCCCGTGGGAGGAGAAACATAGGCTAATAATTTAAGATCTTTTGCTTCGAAAGATGATTAGGTGCTTACAAGGAATAGAAAAACCAGAACTGTTTTTTTTTAATTCATTTATTCGAAAAACATGAAAAATCTTTAAAATTACATCACACCAAACATTACAAAAATACATATTCATCGCGAGCTCTGCCTCGGATCCGCCAAACAGATATTATACAAATCCCTGTTGGTCAGATTCTCGAGGATCATCTCGCAGCAGAGGGTCGGCAGTCGATGATGCGTCAGCAGCACGAAGGGATCCAGGGCCCAGTCGCGAAAGAACTTCCTCGAGACTCTCTCGCACTGATGCACGATCAAGGCGTCGTCCTCGCTCTTGCTCGAGGGAGGAGCATCGGATTCGAGCTCGGAGAAGTAGTCTCTGGCCGGCCGCACGACCGTCAGTCGCTTCAGCGTCTCTCCGGCTGGCAACGGGATCAGGTCGCCGAGCGTCTGGATCGGATCGGCTCTCCTCGCGATCACGCCCCTGGCCTGCCTCGCGAAATCCTCGTGGTCGCGCCAAGGTCTATCGAGATCCGACGACGGCTTCTCGAGCAGTTGGTTATCGGCGAAGAATCGCATGATCGTTAGAGCGTCGTCGCGGTAAAACACGTATCCCCTCGCCTCCAGGCTCTCGACGATGACCATGGCGCCGGCGGCCAGTCTCAATTTTTTCATCGATCGATCCTCCATGAACTGCGTGGGCACTTTCTGCCGGCCGAAGCAGCTCTCGGTGGGGAAAACGAAGTCGCGGGACACCAACGAGGCGCCGCCGCCGCTGCCGCCGCCGCCGCCGCGCTCCAAAATCGCCACGAGCGTCAGCGGCAAAAAGTTGGCCGCCGCGAGCTGCAGCAGTGTCCTCCGAGCCCGCAGCGCGTCCCTCTTGTTCGGCCTACTACGATCGCCGAGCTGCAGCGGCACTAATTCCGCCGTCTCGCCGTCGTGTCCGCGACTCGAGCAGACCAAATGCACAGCCGCGGATCTCTCCTCGTCGGTCGGATTCCGATCGCCGTCGCCGCCTCGTCCCTGTCTCAGCATCGTCACGAGCAGATCCTTGTCCTTTCTCTTCAGAGCCAGGTGCAGAGCGGTCAGTCCCTCGGCGTTGGTCAGATTCGAATTGGCGCCTCTCGACAGCAACGAGTGGGCCACCCTGCCATCGTCCGCGACGTTTCGCAGCAGAGCCCAATGCAACGGGCTGTTACCCGACCAGTCCCGAGCGTCGATGTCCAGCCGCAACTGTACTCGGTCGCAGAAGCGCAGAAGAGCCTCGATCTCGCGATGATGAAAGTAATTGCCCCTGCACATGATGTGCAGCGGCGTCATTCCCTCGCCGTTGGCGCGAGTCGGATCGGCGCCGCGATGCAACAGAAAGTGGACCGCGCAGTAGCAGATACTGTTCCGCTGGTGTCTCTGGACGATCGCGTGCAACGGTGTGTTACCGAGATGGTCTTGGGCGTTGACGTGCACGCCTCTCTCCTCGCAATACTCGAATAATCGAACGAAGGGGTCCTCGCTAAACCGGCTAACTTTCCTGCACAGAACGTGCAGAGGCGTTGCGCCACGAGCGTCCCGCGTGTTCGGATCGGCGCCGCACTTCATCAACCATTTGGCCAGAGCGTATCTTTCGCGCTTCAGAGCCAAGAGCAGCAGGGCGTCGCCGTCCTCGTTCCGAGCGTCGAGTCCCGCTGCTCCTTCACGATCTTGCAGAGACTCGAAGAACGGCCTGGCGAAGTCGTCGTCGTATCTCTCCTCGCACAGAGTGTGCAGCGGCGTCGCTCCCTTGTCGTTGGCCACGCTCGGATCGGCGCCCGCCCTCAGCAGCGCCTCGGCCACTCGCTCGTGGCCGTGATTCAGGGCCAGGTGCAGCGGGCTGTTGCCCGACTTGTCTCGAGCGTCGAGCTGCAGCACCGGCTTGTACACGACGTCGCACGACTCGAGTATCGTCCGCAACAGGTCGCAATCGTCGCGGTGCTCGCACAGGACGTGCAGAGCCGTCGATCCATCCGCGTTGGTTAAGTTGGGATTGGCGCCCCGTCGCAGCAGCGCTACGACCGCGTCCGTGTTTCCATGGTGCCTCAGAGCCAGATGCAGCGGCGCGTCGTCCGACTCGTTGGCCAGATTTGGATCGGCGCCTCGGCTCAGCAGCGGCTCGATCAAGCGATCGTTGTCGTTGGCCACGGCCAAGTGCAGCGGCGAACGACCCGTCACCGGATCGACTTGGTTGGGATCCTGGCCGAGCTTCAAGAATTTCTTGACGAGGTCCTCGCAACCGTACATACAGGCCACGTAAAAGTGACTGAAACCCGATTCGTCCACGTAATTCGAGTCGTATATCTTCAAGAGCTCGAGGACGATATTTCGATTGTTGGGGCAGTGCTGACGTCTGGCCACGCGATGCACCGGTGTGGCGCGACGCAGCTGTGGCTTGCCGTCCTCGCCAACTCGGGGCTTGCGCTTGTAGCCCGTCCGAGCCACGAAACCGACGAATCTTGCCGCCATTTTTTCCTCGGTTGGATTATTGCCGGCAGCCCAGCGATTCAGAGCATCCACGAGGAGACACTCGATCTCTTCGGGCCGAAAGATTCCCCGAAGCTGGTTGGAGAGCAGAAAGTTCCAGTCCTCGATCGAGGGATAAAGTTTTTCGAGAAGATAGTATCGTTCTTGCTTGATTTTCCAATTGGTCTGTGCGCGTAACATCTTCCATTCTTCGAAGCTCGCGAATTCGTCGTGATCTGCCATCGTTTTTCACACTATAACGCACGACACGCGCGATCGATCAATTTTAAGATAGATTTTTTACTTTCGAGTACCAAGAATTATGCTGCTCTCTACGACGAAAAAGACAGCACGTGGTAAAAAGTGAAAGTACAGGCTGGAAGGTACTATCGATTATATGCTCGATAACTTTTAATTCTTGTCACTGAAATCACTGTAACTGCTTCCACTGTGCAGTTTTGACGTAAACTGACTCTTTGGGCGCAATACGAATTAACAATTACAGAAGGAGAGAGAAAAAAACTGGTGTCCAACGTAAATAGTTGTATACAGTGTTTTCACCCCGCAGTGCCTGGAAGTAGACTGACTCATCACACGCACCAAGAATTATGAACTACACGCGTGTAAGAAAAAACACGTGCTCGAAGCCATGTGCGCGCAGTATAGCGATTGAAAAGCGAAGTAGGGGCCTTGCGTGGGCGTGACATACAACGAGCTAGAGATCCATACTTTCTAATCGATACCGAATTGGGGAACGCTTACTGCGTGCGTATCGTTCGATGGCGAGCAATGGAAAAAAAAACGAGAAAATATCGGATTTTATCAGAAAATTCGATTAATCGACTCGAATTGGAGAAAGCTTTTGCTACGTATTGAAAAGTTTTTTTTTAATTCAATATCATGAATGATTATTGAAGAAATTAGTAAACAATTTATATATCAAAGATAAGTTTCGGAATAATGAAATATAACTGAAATCATTCAACCCTTCCCTAATCTACCTGAAAAATAGCTACCATTAAAATCTCAAACAAACTAAACAATCTCACTATCACAAATTCATTCCAGAGGAAAATTTCGACGTTACGGTCCTCGACAGTCATTTTCTTTATGCGGTTGTATACTACTGGCAATTTTATTGAAGTTTCACTTACGATAGTTGTTCTTACATAGATAATTATTTGATTTAAAAAATAATTTAAATTTTCGTTGGAAAACGTAAAGATTAATATTCCAAAACTAGTTTTGTAGCATAACAAGATTTATCGTAATTATAGGTGTCATATTTGAATACGAGTTTTTTGATTCCATCAACAGATGGAGTATTGAGAACTCGCAAGTGGCAACTTTTTTTTCGATCGTTATAAATTCTTTTGATTCGTGATAAGCATTAATGTGCTACTTGAATCTACTGCTACTTGAATAATTGAAGAAAATTGAATCGTCTGGTCGACTAATTAAGATAAATAAAAAATACTCTTTTTAACGAGCAACTTAAAAAAAACGTCAATAAAACTCTGTACGATTTTTTTGCGCATTTGTAGACCACTTTGAAGGTACTCTTTGAAGTACACAGTATGCCTCGTATAGCTAAAATTGACTAGATCTCAGGCAATTTTTTTTTTTAAATTACTCGTTCAACGCGGCCATGTTCAGTAATTTGCGGCGAGGATTTTATCGGCGCTGGGCCTTTGACTGCTTCGTTGTGCTGACGCAGGAACTGTTTTTTGTTACAGTAGCCATTGCTATTTTCTTTAATTGTATAGCCTGACTCATGTATATATTTTTGTGTAATTTTTTTTTAAATATTTTTCTGACAGAGCTAGCAGGATATGGGTCATCTCGTAACGACATATTCCAGAAATACAGGGGGTTCGTACAATTTTTAATATAAGTACGTGAATAACAATGTTAATTTTTTTTTCTTGCTCCATGGCAATTTCTTTTCGCCGGATTGTTACACGATAGGTAGAAAATATGATTGTTGCGACGACGACGATGGCGAGTGCAACAGCACATGGATTGGATATAAATATATTCGCAATACGATCACATTTCTTTCGAACTGTATCGGTGAAAAGCTCAAGATATAAATATGATCAGAGGTGATCATGGATGTAGAAGTACCATATGTAATTTTTACAAATTTTTCCAACCACTTTTTTTAATAAAATGGCGGCCTTAACGTAAACTGTTTATGCATATAATCACCCAAGAAAATGCATGTAAGGGTGAGAGTGTATAATCTTTTACTTAAAAAAAGTTGCAATTATAGAAAAAGTTTATAAAACAAAAGAG